AACACTACGGAAAAAATGAACATTTTTCATTAAGGTGATGATATTGGTCAAAACTTGCAATACCCATAGATCTCAAAAATTCCCAGAATGAGAATTTCAAAAGTACCAAAAAATTTTCACATAAAATATCACAATTAACAACTACTCAAATTTACGTGAGGTGGCGTAAAACTCTGTGAAAAAACCCGATATTCCTACTCGTGAAATATGTTTTCCATATCACTAGGGTCAAGAAACTCCACTGCTATCAGCAACGTAAACTCACCTAAGACTCTGGGGACCACTCGGAGGGTGTGTTACTGGAGGGCTCGGTGGTGGAGCGTTATTATTATCAAATTGTGGTATCGGATAGCTCCCTATGATTGGCACTGCAGGATGATGACCACCACCCTGATTGCCGTTAGCCATTGGCACCTGTTTGGGAGGAGAATATATGCACATGGTCAACTACATGTGTTGGTGAAAATTTTTCGAGCAATTTTTACTCTAACTAGCGAGGAAACTCCTGAGCTTCGGTGAGGAAAGCAAACAGTGATAATTACTATATGAAGAAAAATTTGAAATTTTATTCTGAACTTGATAATTCTTAATAATAACAACTCGTGTGTGTGAGGGGGGAATATATACACATGGTCAACTACATGTGTTGGGGAAATTCTGAGAGGAAACTCTCATTGGTTTCTGTACATTCCTACCAGAATTCGTATAACAAGCTTTGGAAACTCTCGAGCTCAACTGAGGAAAGCAAACATATATTCCTACTCCAACACTGGAGTTTCACGACCAGTTTTACATGAAGTGGTGTAAAACTCTGCGATATTCGCGGTGATATACGTTTTTCACATCACTAGGGTGGTGAAGAAACTCCATTACTGATCAACTTCATACCGCCCTTCTGTCACATCACTACTACCAGTATAATGCTCGTAGTATCCTGAGGAATCGGCGATGTCGTATACACTATCGTAGCCGTTGGATGTCGCCTGATATGACCGTACCTATAACCACATTTAATACCATAAATCCCCCCACGAGAATATACAACGGTAAAAAAGGAAATTTATATACGACTTAAAATTTATTTGTGGCTATTTATTTCAGAAAATTGAAAAATAGTAGAATTTTATGCAATTTGTTGGAGTTTCACGACGCGTTTTACGACGTAAGTGGCGTCGTAAAACTCCGTGAAAAACGCGAGATTTGCGCCTTGCAATAGTCGTGAAATATGTTTTTCATATCACTAGGGTCAAGAAACTCAATTAAAGTAAATGGGTAATTTTTTGAGAAATTTTACGGATTTTTTTTCAGAAAATTAGTAGAATAGTAGAGTTTCTTGACCCTAGTGATGTGAAAAACACACTAGTGAAAAACATATTTCACACATTTCACTTCGCGAAAAACGCATGTGAGCCGTGAATTTCGCGTAAAACGGGTGAAACTCAGGTAAAATTTTACGCAATTTATTTCAGCAAATTAGTAAACTAGTAAAATCTATTTCAGTGACTTGATCAAGTAGTAAAATTTGGAGAATTTTTCAGCGATTTTCAGCAATTTCTAGTGAGGGAAAGCAGTTATGAAACTCTCAGGAACTCCAATGAACGTAAATCATGCCCGTTGAGAATTTAATGTTAACTTTGATATATACATATACACTACGTGTGAATTTGATCGATGCAAATGTGTGTTATTTTGTAGGACATATTATAGTGAACAAGTTGTCGCTATCATCACAGTCCCCAAACGGATACATCACATGTTCATAGTTATTGTTACATTGTATATGCAACATATAGTTTTAGATCGATTCTCATTAACCTCAGAAAGTACCGCAAATTTTCATAACAATTCGGGACGGCAACTATCGATGCATTGGAGTTTCTTCACCACCCTAGTGATATGGAAAATATATTTCACGACTACTGCATATCACCGCGAATATCGCGTTTTCCTACCGACTTCACGTAAAACGGGTCAAGAAACTCCTTTATTGATTCAACCGATATTCATACATACATATGAGCCTGTGGCAGTCCTCCCTGCATCGGAGAGACGCCATTCCACTGCTGTTGTTGTTGTTTCCTATTAGCCTCTTTCGAGCGTTTCTTCTGTGGAGTTCCACGTGATGAGTTCATTTCACCTTCCGGTCCGAAATGAGGGTGATCATAGGGTGGCAGATTACCTGAAAATAACAAAATCGTGAAAAATGATGACATTTTATGTGAAGAAAAAAATGCCCATTTTCGAGAAAATTCTGATAACTTTTTTGCCATTATTTATAGTTTTTTTGGTAATTTAGTAAAAGTGATATCAGGCTAACGTATATTCCAACACAGGGAGTTTCACGATTACCCGTTTTACGTGAAGTGGCGTCGTAAAACTCGGTGAAAGAAACGCGATATTCGCGGTGATATGTATTGTTTTTCATATCACTAGAGTCAAGAAACTCCATTGATTTCACGTGCGACTCGAAAGAAATCAAAGTACTTCTCCAACTGAAAAAGTCTAAAAAACGCGCTAAATTCACAAAATTTATTTTTTTTCTACAGAATTTTCCAATTTCCCAAAACCTCACCCATAAGTGGTCCATAGCCTTGCGGCAGCATCGGCGTTAACATAGGAACGCTGGGGTAACCAGGCCCCGGGAACATCATCATAGGAGGCATACCATTCGGAGGGTAGAAACCGGGTAAAGGGTGAAACTGCCCAGCTGGAGGAGGCATCTAAATAGAGATAGAAATTACGCATATGGTCAATAGTAATTGCGGAGCGAGCGAAGCGAGCGGAGCGTATTCTCTCACTTTACTAACACTTTGTGCGTGCGTGCGTGCGTGCGTGCGTACAAATTATCCAGCTCGATCTAGAGAGGTTATGATCACATGCTATACACCATTCGATAGCTCTCGCTCTGGGGATACTAGCAAAAATACGAAATTAGGGTTCCGCCCCGACCATGTAGATTTCCGTGCAAAAAACATATTTTTGCAGAAAAACGCCAGGCATGGGAATCGAACCCGGATGCCGAGCTCCGCCCCTTCTCCGAGAAGGCCTAGTAATAAATTTCAATGGAGTTTATATGAAAAAAATAGTAAAAAATTTATATTTCACAGCTACTGCATATCACCGCGAATATCGACGTCAACTTACTGCTCCCCAATGTGCTGTTTCCATGCTTTCCGCGCCGTAACCACTAAGCTCATTGTCCTCAGGAACCGTAGCCATCTCAGTTCGCTTCTCCTCAGCTCTAGAGCCAGACTTCGACTGTCGTCTGCATCCAGCAGTAGCTGCCTTGCTCATCGTACTCTTCTTATTCCCACTCGACAATCTAAGAAGTAATAACATTGGAGTTTCTTCACCCTAGTGATATGAAAAACATATTTCACGACTACTGCATATCACCGCAATTATCGCGTTTTTCACGGAGTTTCACGACGCCACTTCACGTCGTGAAACGCGTCGTGAAACTCCAATACAATTTCACGATTACCCGTTTTACGTGAAGTGGCGTCGTAAAACTCGGGTAAGAAAAAAGTCCAAAATCACAACAACCTGATTTGAAATTTTCTCTACAATAAACTTCATAATTTTCATTTTCGGTGGAGTTTCACGACGACCCGTTTAACGTGAAGTGGCGTAAATATGTTTTTCCGCGACCGCCGATAGCACAATTGTTTTCCGCCAAGTTAATTGTGAAATATATTTTTCACTATCACTAGGGTGAAATTTCATGAAAAAAACATATATCACCGCGTTGAATATCGCGTTTTTCACCGAGTATTACACCACATCGCGTAAAATGAGTAAAACTTCAAAATATTCTCACCTGGCACTCCCCCTAGCTGAACTCGGTGGAACCGCACTTCCCTTAGGACTGCCGGTCGTTCCAACGGTCGTTTCGATTTCTTCTTGTTGTTGTTGCTGTATAACAGTGGGTGTAGAAGGGTTATTTTCGCCGCCTTTTTTCGTAATACCTAAATATGATCTCTTTCCTCACCAGCTGCTGAGCTCAGGAGGCTCGAAAGCTAATTATAGAAGTATATATATGAATTCGGGTAGAAATGTACGAAAATCAACAGTGTTGGAGTAGGAATATATGTAATCGCTTTCCTCAGCTGCTGAGCTCAGGAGTTTCCTATACAGTGTTGGAGTAGGAATATATGTAATCGCTTTCCTCAGCTGCTGCTGAGCTCAGGAGTTTCCTATACAGTGTTGGAGTAGGAATATATGTAATCGCTTTCCTCAGCTGCTGAGCTCAGGAGTTTCCTATACAGTGTTGGAGTAGGAATATATGTAATCGTTTTCCTCAGCTGCTGAGCTCAGTAGTTTCCTACACAGTGTTGGAGTAGGAATATATGTAATCGCTTTCCTCAGCTGCTGAGCTCAGTAGTTTCCTATACAGTGTTGGAGTAGGAATATATGTAATCGCTTTCCTAAGCTGCTGAGCTCAGGAGTTTCCTATACAGTGTTGGAGTAGGAATATATGTAATCGCTTTCCTCAGCTGCTGAGCTCAGGAGTTTCCTATACAGTGTTGGAGTAGGAATATATGTAATCGCTTTCCTCAGCTGCTGAGCTCAGGAGTTTCCTTATGTGCGCTAGAGCAGTGAAAAATGTCAGAAATTTCCTCAACATTTATTCACCAACATATGCAATTAAAAACGTGCATATTTCCAAAGTACCACATAACCATGCAAATCGATCACCTTTATTTTTCACAGTCGTTTCAGCAGGTGCCTGACTTTTCGTTTGCTCCATCGCAGCAGTAGCCTCTGGTGTCACCGGCGTGCTCGTAGTGTCACCAGTCACCGCCGATTTTACCCCACGAGCCGACTTGCCTGAAAACAGTAACGAAAAATTCCACTGTGTGGGAGAATATGCACATGGTCAATTACATGTGTTGATGATGACAATACGAAAATTTTGAGGAAATTTTTACTCTAAGTAGCGAGAAAACTCCTGAGCTTCGGTATGGACAGCAAACAGCGATAATAACTATATGAAGAAAAATTTGGAATTTTATTCTGAACTTAATAATTCATAATAATAACAACCACTGTGTGAGAGGGGAATATATACACATGGTCAACTACATGTGTTGGTGATGACAATATGAAAATTCTGAGGGGAAATTCTCATTGGTTTCTGTACATTTCTACCACAATTCGTATAGTAAGCTTCGGAAACTCCTAAGCTCAGCAGCTGGTGAGGAAAGCAAACTTATATTTCTACTCCAACACTGTATCATAATAACACGATAAATTGGAGAGTAAAATTTTCTCCATGGTCAACTACGTGTGTTGATGAAATTTTGGGAAATTCTTATTGGTTTCTGTATTTCACTACTATGTGAGTTAAGTAAACTCCCAAGCTCAGCAGCTGGTGAGAAAAGCGATCACATATACATATATTCCTACTCCAACACTGTCGAAATCACAACAACAACAACAACAACAACAACAACAACAACAACATATACAACAACAACATATACAACAACAACAACAACATATACAACAACAACATATACAACAACAACATATACAACAACATATACAACATATACAACAACATATACAACAACATATACAACAACATATACAACATATACAACAACAACAACAACAACAACAACAACAACAATAACGTGAATCATATAACCTTAACCAGAAATACCTACATGTAATCCTTGTAGTTTTGCCCTTAGCCCCAACAACAGTAGCAACAGCCGAGCCTTGTTGTGATGGAGGACTTCCAGGACGATTAACCTTATTCACTTCACAAGATGTTTTCTTCATAAGCCCGCCAGTAACGACGCTCGAAAACGACCGCTTGGGGGGATCGAACTTTCGCAGTTTCGGCGCTATCGGTTCCGAATCTTCATCACTCGTCATGTCCGACCATCGGCGTGATTCTACTGTTGGTTTCACCACAGATGGCTCTGCCGGATCTCCTGAGAAAGCCATCTCGAGCTCCAATGAAATTTCACGATTACCCGTTTTACGTGTAGTGAAAAACTAGGCGATATTCAACGCGGTGATATTCGCAGTAGTCGTGAAATATATTTTTCATATCACTAGGGTGGTGAAGAAACTCATCAAACGTATAAGGATAAATTACAGTTTCATCGGAATTTCACTCGTTCTAGGGGAAGTGAAAAACGCGATATTCGCGATATGCATGTTTTCACTAGTGTTTTTCATATCACTAGGGTCAAGAAACTCGATCGAAGACGTTTATAAATACAAATTTTCCAATAGATAATAATAATATTGGAGTTTCACGATTACCCGTTTTACGTGAAGTGGCGTCGTAAAACTCGGTGAAAAACTAAGCGATATTCAACGCGGTGATATGCAGTAGTCGTGAAATATGTTTTTCATATCACTAGGGTGGTGAAGAAACTCCATTGAAGACTACTGATATGTTAATGCGAACATATAATGGAGTTTCTTGACCCTAGTGATATGAAAAACACTAGTGAAAAACATATCTCACTTCGCCAGGACCGCATGTGAGCAGTAAATAACGCGTAAAACACGTGGTATGTGTTTTACGTGATTTCTCCGGTGCAATTCGCCAAGTGTTTTCAATTTATTTTCACATGAAGTATTACACCACTTCACGTAGTATAACGAGCAAAAATTTCAATATCGTATTATTCCTCCTAAACCACGACTTCACCTCCTTGCGGGCTCAAAGTCCTCGTCCTTGTCATCGACTGCGTCGTACCACAACTCTCTGAAATCACATCAAAATTCAAACCCATTTTTAGGGGGGAATATGCAATATGTGAGAGCATCTGTATGCATTGATGATAATATGAAAATTCCTGAGAATTTTCATAACGTAATTCTGAGACATTCCGCTAATCCTAAATTGTTATATCAACATACCAAATTTTCGCCGAAAAAAATGTGAAATGAAATTACGTGGAGTATATATAAACTTTAGAGTTTCACGACTATCCGTTTTACTACGTGAAGTGGCGTAATACTCCATGTGAAAAACGCGATATGAAGTGGCGAATTACACCGGAGAAATCACGTAAAAACACATACAAAGTGTTTTACGCGTTATTCACTGCTCACATGCGTTTTTCGCAAAGTGAAATATATTTTCATAAAAAGAGAAAGAGATTACAGTTTCTTCACCCTAGTGATATAAAAAACATATTTCACGACTACTGCATATCACCGCGAATATCGCTTCACGTAAAACTTCAATAAATATATATAAATCTCGCAAATCTATATTCACCCTCACCCCTACCTTGTAGACCACCAGCAGCAGTAGTAGAGGACAGCTGTTGCGGTCCAGTACTAGCACCTCGTTGTTGGCGTACTTTAGACCTGCTACTTCTGGCCGCCTCAGCTCGGGCTTGGGCAACTCTAGAAGCGCTACTCTGAAAATATAAAGACTTTAATAAACTGTGTTGGAGTGGTAGGAATATATTTAATCGCTTTCCTCGGCTGCTGAGCTCAGGAGTTTCCTATACAGTGTTGGAGTAGGAATATATGTAATCGCTTTCCTCGGCTGCTGAGCTCAGGAGTTTCCTATACAGTGTTGGAATAGTAGGAATATATGTAATCGCTTTCCTAAGCTGCTGAGCTCAGGAGTTTCCTATACAGTGTTGGAATAGTAGAAATATATGTAATCGCTTTCCTAAGCTGCTGAGCTCAGGAGTTTCCTATACAGTGTTGGAATAGTAGGAATATATGTAATCGCTTTCCTAAGCTGCTGAGCTCAGGAGTTTCCTATACAGTGTTGGAATAGTAGGAATATATGTAATCGCTTTCCTAAGCTGCTGAGCTCAGGAGTTTCCTATACAGTGTTGGAATAGTAGGAATATATGTAATCGCTTTCCTCAGCTGCTGAGCTCAGAAGTTTCCTATACAGTGTTGGAGTAGGAATATATGTAATCGCTTTCCTCAGCTGCTGAGCTCAGAAGTTTCCTATACAGTGTTGGAGTAGGAATATATGTAATCGCTTTCCTCAGCTGCTGAGCTCAGGAGTTTCCTATACAGTGTTGGAGTAGGAATATATGTAATCGCTTTCCTCAGCTGCTGAGCTCAGGAGTTTCCTATACAGTGTTGGAGTAGGAATATATGCAATCGTTTTCCTCAGCTGCTGAGCTCAGGAGTTTCCTATACAGTGTTGGAGTAGGAATATATGTAATCGCTTTCCTCAGCTGCTGAGCTCAGGAGTTTCCTATACAGTGTTGGAGTAGTAATATATGTAATCGCTTTCCTCAGCTGCTGAGCTCAGGAGTTTCCTATACAGTGTTGGAGTAGGAATATATGTAATCGCTTTCCTCAGCTGCTCAGCTCAGGAGTTTCCTATACAGTGTTGGAGTAGGAATATATGTAATCGCTTTCCTCAGCTGCTGAGCTCAGGAGTTTCCTATACAGTGTTGGAGTAGGATTATATGTAATCGCTTTCCTCAGCTGCTGAGCTCAGGAGTTTCCTATACAGTGTTGGAGTAGGATTATATGTAATCGCTTTCCTCAGCTGCTGAGCTCAGGAGTTTCCTATACAGTGTTGGAGTAGGAATATATGTAATCGCTTTCCTCAGCAGCTGAGTTCAGGAGTTTCCTATACAGTGTTGGAGTAGGAATATATGTAATCGCTTTCCTCAGCTGCTCAGCTCAGGAGTTTCCTATACAGTGTTGGAGTAGGAATATATGTAATCGCTTTCCTCAGCTGTTGAGCTCAGGAGTTTCCTATACAGTGTTGGAGTAGGAATATATGTAATCGCTTTCCTCAGCTGCTGAGCTCAGGAGTTTCCTATACAGTGTTGGAGTAGGAATATATGTAATCGCTTTCCTCAGCTGCTGAGCTCAGGAGTTTCCTATACAGTGTTGGAGTAGGAATATATGTAATCGCTTTCCTCAGCTGCTGAGCTCAGGAGTTTCCTATACAGTGTTGGAGTAGGAATATATGTAATCGCTTTCCTCAGCTGCTGCTGAGCTCAGGAGTTTCCTATACAGTGTTGGAGTAGGAATATATGTAATCGCTTTCCTCAGCAGCTGAGTTCAGGAGTTTCCTATACAGTGTTGGAGTAGGAATATATGTAATCGCTTTCCTCAGCTGCTCAGCTCAGGAGTTTCCTATACAGTGTTGGAGTAGGAATATATGTAATCGCTTTCCTCAGCTGTTGAGCTCAGGAGTTTCCTATACAGTGTTGGAGTAGGAATATATGTAATCGCTTTCCTCAGCTGCTGAGCTCAGGAGTTTCCTATACAGTGTTGGAGTAGGAATATATGTAATCGCTTTCCTCAGCTGCTGCTGAGCTCAGGAGTTTCCTATACAGTGTTGGAGTAGGAATATATGTAATCGCTTTCCTCAGCTGCTGCTGAGCTCAGGAGTTTCCTATACAGTGTTGGAGTAGGAATATATGTAATCGCTTTCCTCAGCTGCTGCTGAGCTCAGGAGTTTCCTATACAGTGTTGGAGTAGGAATATATGTAATCGCTTTCCTCAGCTGCTGCTGAGCTCAGGAGTTTCCTATACAGTGTTGGAGTAGGAATATATGTAATCGTTTTCCTCAGCTGCTGAGCTCAGGAGTTTCCTATACAGTGTTGGAGTAGGAATATATGTAATCGCTTTCCTCAGCTGCTGAGCTCAGGAGTTTCCTATACAGTGTTGGAGTAGGAATATATGTAATCGCTTTCCTCAGCTGCTGAGCTCAGGAGTTCCTCACGCTATAGTCAGTATAGGAAAGCCAGCAAGAAATTCACCCTAGTGATATGAAAAACATATTTTACGCGTTTTGCAAGGCGCAAATATCGCGTTTTTCACCGAGTTTTACGACGCCACTGCACGTCGTGAAACTCCATTGTTATCACCAACAACACACATAGCTTCCCATACTACTACTATTACCTGTTCCTTCCCATTCCCCAAGCCCGTAATGCTTTTCTTAGCAGCCATACTACCGCTGCAAGCCTCCTGAGCGGCGCCGACTGGTGATATAACAGCATCAGAGCTCTCCTGAGAAATACAAAATCACATATAAAATGTTTTTCACATATCACTAGGGGGAAACTCCTTTTTTATGAACTTTTATGTAAATTACCATATGCATATTTTCTCATCTGAACTCAGATTAGGAAATCATCTAAAAAAGCCTATAATGTTCCCGGAGAGAGAAATTTCATTTCGAAATTTTTATATATTTTTCATTTATTTTTATCAAACTCTGGGGAGACGTTATTTCGCAAAGCTAAATAGAGCAAAACTAAAATCGTAAAATTACTAACATCAGATTCGTCAGAATGCATCTTTTTCGGGTGAAATTCGATGGAGTTTCTTGACCCTAGTGATATGAAAAACATATTTCACGACTACTGCATATCACCGCGTTGAATATCGCGTTTTCCACTACACGTAAAACGAGTGATCGCGAAACTCCACTGTTTATAATAAAACTCAACTTCATAATGTGAAATTGATTCTCGATTTCGAGTGCGATACAAACTACTACTACTACTACTACTACTACTACTACTACTACTACTACTACTACTACTACTACTACTATATATTACTATACTATTACTATACTATTATTACTATACTACTATTATTACACCATTATTACTATACTATACTACTATACTACTACTATTACACCATTATTACTATACTACTATACTACTACTACTACTATATACTATACTACCTACTACTATAATTACCTCAACAAGGCGTGGTGAATGCTCCACTCTAGGACTGCCCTGCCCCACAGAGCTGTTATTATTACTACTACTAGGCTGACTTCCACTCGAAGTGTTAGTTGCCAGCTTACTACTACTACTTGATTTCACCACTGAAGTGGTGTCTGTTGTCATTATAAAGTAATACTAATAACAGGCGAATTGAGTATGGGAAAATATGCACATGATCAACTACGTCCTTATGAAAATTCCGGAAATTTTTGGGAATTTTCCATAATTTTTATACATTTCTAACAGAACTGATAAAAATAAAAAGACTCAGCAGAAATTCCCAAAAATTTCCGGAAAATTTTTTCACATTGTCACAATCACACGTCGTCAAACATCAGATTTTTTTTATATTTTCTGATCACCAAAAAGTCGACAAGAAAAAAAAATTTTCGCAAAATTATATAAATCAAAAAATTTTGAATCTTGAAAAAAAACAAATTCGAATAGTTGATCGAATAGCAAAGTTCTGAGTTTAGAAATAAACAAGTTTTAACAACACTACTGTTACACTTCGAAAAACAATAGCCATATTCTCACTGATGTTACTAGCAAGTACGACCCTACTGCAGTGGAGTTTCACAGGATCACCCGTTTTACGTGAAGTGGCGGCGTAAAACTCCATGTGAAAAACTGAGCGATATTCAACGCGGTGATATGCAGTAGTCGTGAAATATATTTTTCATATCACTAGGGTGGTGAAAAAACTCCAGTAACGATGATGTTACTTCACCGACGGTTTGACGAAAATCTTGAAATCTTGTAATCTTGCATTTCCTCAACGCACTCTAGGCAGAGTAGACGCACATTTTCAAATTCCCAATTTGGGAATCCCAAAGTAAAGACTACGCATACGGAATAGGGTGGAGAGTAATGGTTAAGACTGGGAATGCTTACAAGTTGACCGTTTTAACGCACTTTTCTTACGACGATTATATCGTGCTCTGCTACTTAGTTTGCTACAGGTCTATGATGATGCAACTGTCAGCTCCCTAATCTATCTCCTTATTGGAGTTTCATCTGTGATGTGCATTTCGCGAATATCACGTTTTTCACTACGCCGTTTCGCGTAAAACGCGTGATCGTGAAACTCCATTAAAGTGATTAGTAGGAGTCTTGGTGCAATTAATATCACTTCCTGCACCGCCGCTTTCCCCCTCACTAAGATACCCTTTGGGGGATAGACTCCCGCGAACATTCGTCATTGGAAAACTTTCTTCCACGTGCTAGCTAACGAGTTTCTCTAAAGAGGTTTAAAATAGTGTATCTGATGGGGCATACCGTATGTGAATTGATCACTAATGAGCAACTGAAGTTTCCCGACTGAGGCCGATTCTCTCATTCTTCTGGCAGCAGGTCTACTTCATGGCGAATGCAGTAAACTCTCTGTGCCACAGGTGTAGTTGTACAGATTGCACAAGTATGGAATCTTAGCTCAGCTCGAAGCTAGTTAATGAGTTTATGAGTATAATTGTGGATAGAATCACTAGATTCCATTAACCATTGCCTTTAGTTCCCAAATGGTTAACATGATAGTGCAGAAGCAGCAGTGTCATTTTCGTTTAGATCAGCTTCTACAGAGCGGCACGACGCTAATTTAGCATCCTTCTTACTTAAGGCGTGGTTCAATTCTATATTCAGTTCAACGGCAGTGATCTGAGTATGTTAGGAATTGTAGTTTCACAACTACCCGTTTTACGTAGAATGATATGCAGTAGTTTTATAACATATATATGTTAACTTCACTAGTGTTATGTTTCTGTGATGTCATTAGTACTCCTCCTAACACGCCTTATCCCTCTACTACTCCTACCATGTGTTCCCGCGGAAATATCAAAACAGACAATCTCATATCATCAATCACAACGGCGAATTAGAAAGGCGGATTTCCAAGTACAGTTTTCATCCTTACTACTACCACTACTACTACTACTACTACTACTACTACTACTACTACTGTTGTCGGTTGAAACGCCCTTTTGTATAGGACCGAACGGGGAGAGTAAATATTATGATGCAAAACGGAGCATTCATCCTATTCGAGATCGGCAGCCAATCCTGTCCAAGGCAGTTACTCGATGATTGCTTTACTCAAGAAAATGGTAAGTTTGCTTTCCTCACCAGCTGCTGAGCTCAGGAGTTTCTATACAGTGTCGGAGTAGGAATATATGTAATCGCTTTCCTCAGCTGCTGAGCTCAGGAGTTTCCTATACAGTGTCGGAGTAGGAATATATGTATTCGCTTTCCTCACCAGCTGCTGAGCTTAGGAGTTTCCAAAGCTTATTATACGAATTCTGGTAGAAATGTACAGAAACCAATGAGAATTTCCACTCAGAATTTCCCCAACACATGTAGTTGACCATGTGTATATATTCCCCCTCACACACACGAGTTGTTATTATTATGAATTATTAAGTTCAGAAAAAAATTTCAAATTTTTCTTCATATAGTTATTATCACTGTTTGCTTTCCATACCGAAGCTCAGGAGTAGAAATTTCTCGAAAAAATCCTCAAAATTTTCACCAATGGATTCTGATATTCCCTTTTCCCATAGGCGGTTTCACTCCTGTCGTTGCCGCTACCGATCAAGAAATCATCAATCAAGCTCGACAGTGGCTGATTCACAACCTTACTGAAACCGTAGGGACTTCATTTTCGCACTGTTTTCATTCGCAGCGTTCAGGCCTACTCGCGTTACGCTTCTGATGATCCGGCTCTCATCGAAACCATAGCTCTAATTCGACAGCTCGAAAATTTACTATCACCCTCATCAGAAGTAGCCCAGAGACCCCGGGTTCGAATCCCAGCGAGGGCATTTTTTGTAGGCTCACGACTCGTATGATTATATGCAAGAACTAGCTCGATTGACACCTGGTGTGATCTGGCAGCATGCAGATGTTGAGGAGCCACTCAAGTTGCGACGAGAATCAGCAGTGGAGTTGGTTGGCATGGGTGTTATTATTTTCGCGGTGGGTCCACCCGGGTTCTATTCCCACACCTGATAAGTGTTGGAGTAGGAATATATGTAATCGCTTTCCTCAGCTGCTGAGCTCAGGAGTTTCCTATACAGTGTTGGAGTAGGAATATATGTAATCGCTTTCCTCAGCTGCTGAGCTCAGGAGTTTCCTATACAGTGTTGGAGTAGGAATATATGTAATCGCTTTCCTCAGCTGCTGAGCTCAGGAGTTTCCTATACAGTGTTGGAGTAGGAATATATGTAATCGCTTTCCTCAGCTGCTGAGCTCAGGAGTTTCCTATACAGTGTTGGAGTAGGAATATATGTAATCGCTTTCCTCAGCTGCTGAGCTCAGAGTTTCCTATACAGTGTTGGAGTATGAATATATGTAATCGCTTTCCTCAGCCGCTGAGC